CGGTGCCAGGCACGGCAGTAGAGCTAGGCTCGGAATGGGAGGAAGATGAGAGAGCAAGAGATGAGGCTGGTCCCCTGTAGTTCTGATCACAGGTCCTAGGCTACTTCCCAGGAAGCATTGTCTGATATTATCTGTTGCCTATCTAAGCATGGAGCCTGGAGTCCCTGAGCTCTGCAAGTCTGTTCTGATTCCAGGTGAGTGCTGCATCCCTGCTCTTAGTGGACATAGCCCCCAATAAATTCTCCAGCCTTTTCAAATCATCTCCCTGATGTAGCTGCAGTCACACATTCTGGATGCATGATAGGGCTTGGGTTCAGCAGCCTCCTGTCCTTCAACCCCTCAGCATGGAACATGTTTGTGCTGTTTGATGTCTGCTTGCTAGTCACCTTCTTCTGGAATGAGAATAGTCTTGCCACGGCCAGTAGCTGTGGTACCTTTGGTTACAGTTGGTGTAAACCTAGACCACTGTGGCCTCTGTGAGTTTTAGTCTCTGTATATATTAGATTCAAATGCAAAATGAGGACTAGAGTGTTGTTAGCTCAGTGGTCAAGCATTTGCCTGGCATGTATGAGGCCCAGAGTTCCATCCCCAGCTCTACAAAAATAATAAATAAATAAATAAATAAATAAATAAATAAATCACAAGCTTTTGTTCTACATAGTACTTGCTTTTCCTGTTAACCAGATGTGCACTTGACTTAAGCTGTTTATTGGCTTATAGACCAGGTCTCTCCAAGTAGCCTAGGCTGACCTTGACTCACAGTCCTCCTGCCTCAGCCTCCCATGTGCTGAGATTATAGGTATGTACCCCACACCCATATCATGGCTTAGTCTCCTTCAGTGCTTCTGAAGGCTGGCCTTTTGGGTAGTGTAGCAAGTGCTATGGAAAGGAGTGGAGGTCTGCTGGGGCCTGGTGCCAGGCTTTCTGGATTCGTTCTTCCTGTTAGAGTTTGAGGTGACTGAAGGCAAGTGTGCAAAGTACTCAGAACAGTGTGGAGCTCAACCAAGTACTCACTAGTATTAGGGGAGAGGCACTCCCTGGAAAGAGTGACAGAAGATGTGGCTGCCTCTTGTACTTCTCAGCAGTCCTCAAGGGAGAAGCTGATGTGGTGGCCGTGGTGGATGTGGAAACTGAGGCCCGCAGAGGGCATAGTTGCAAGCAGTAGCCAGGAGTTGGCACTTACCAGGGAGATGGACCTGAACATGTGTTTCCCTCCTGGCTTTGCATTCTAGGACCTGTCAGTCCCAGCCCAAAGTGGGGGTCGTGCAGGTCAGTCAGCAGCTCAGGAAGTGCATTACCCAATGGGCCAGCTCACTAACCTGGACCTCACTCTTGAGCATCTATATCCACTGTTCTCAACCTGTGGTCATGACCCATTGGGGGAGGTCAAACAACCCTTTCACAGGGTCACACATCAGATATCTGATATTTACATTATCAGATATTTACATTATCATTTTAATATCAGATATTTACATTACAATTCATAACAGTAACAAGATTACAGTTAGGAAATAGCAAGAATAATTTTATGGTTGGGGATCACCACAACATGAGGGACTGTACTAAAGGGTCTCAGACTTAGGAAGGTTGAGAACCACTTATCTACATGGATTCCCACTCCAGCAATGGGGCTGACCAGAGTTCCATAACTCTTCCTTATCCATGGACCTTTAGATGTTTCTAGCAATTGCTAGATGGCTGCATCTGTAAAGGCTTGAAATTTCCCCACTCCCTGCCCCCACCCTCAATACTTAGCTATCCAGAGAAGTAGATTCCCTTGGAAAGTTCTCAAATTCATGATTGTTTTTCTTTTTAAAGACAAGATCCACTCCGGGCGGTGGTGGCGCACGCCTTTAATCCCAGCACTCGGGAGGCAGAGCCAGGTGGATCTCTGTGAGTTCGAGGCCAGCCTGGGCTACCAAGTGAGTCCCAGGAAAGGCGCAAAGCTACACAGAGAAACCCTGTCTCGAAAAACCAAAAAAAAAAAAAAAAAAAAAAGACAAGATTCAGTCGGCCCGGAACTCACTATATAGACTACCGCTAACTAACTAACTCATAGAGATCTGTCTACCTCTGCCTTCTGAATATTGAGATTAAAGGCATGCACCATTACACCCATCTGAATTCATACTTTAAAAAAACAAGAGCTTTTTTTCCCCTTTGAGAATGTCACACAGTGATTTTGATCATAGTGAGCCCTACTCCTCCCCTTGAGTAATTCTGGCAGTTGATTTTTCTCTTTATGTTTTTCTTTTGAGACTGGGAAGGCAAGGGTGGTTGTTGTGCTGCATGTGTATTGTTTGTTACTCTCTGCAAAAACTTCTCTCTGTCTGCCTTCCTTCCTCTCTTTCTTTCTGCTGCTGCCTTCTCCTGCCCCACCTAATCCCCTAGCTCCAGAGTGGGGGGGTCCAGCCAAGAGTACTCACTCAGGCATGCTGGGCAAGGGTTCTACCACTGAACTGTAGGCCCAAATCTGAAGGAACTTTCTACCCATGATTTCATTTGATTCTAGAAGGCCAGAATTCCTCTGCATGAGTTTTAGACAAAGAGATGAGGCAGTTGTGTGGCTTCTGGCACCCCCAGGCCCTTTATGTTACTTTCCTCTACTCTTGCCAGTTGTTCTGAACGTTAGAGCCCTTAGAGCTTAGGGAAGACTTGCCACAGCCACCTGTGGGGACCTCTGTCCTTAGCTTGAAGCATACAGCTGTTGGTTGTGTGCTTTGGCCTCAGTGTCTGTGTCTGATAGCCGTCGCCCTGTGTGGCGTGCTCTAATACTCACTGCAAGCAGATGGTGATGGGTGGAAGCAAGCCACTTCATCTTGAGATCATCTCCAGGAGAGTGCAGCCCAGGGCTGCACTTGATCACCCAGCATCTTGCTTGAGCTCTGATGGATGCTGTCTGTCAAGCAGTGCATGCTCAGAATGCCCATTTTCCAACTCTGTAATATATTAACTGGGTTTCCTGGATAGTAGAATCATGCTTCAATTTATCTGTCATTTTTGTGGTTGAATAATCCAAAATGGGCAAATAAAAATGAATGTTTGTATTTGGATTCTAATTTAGCTCTCAAATGGGTTTTATTTTGGACATTATTGAAATTAATCTGTTTTCCTTGAGCACATTCCACTTATTGGCAAGGTACAGTTTCCCTCCCCCTCCAGAATGTACTTGGTGGCTCTTGGGGCAAATTCATAAGATAGATAATCCATGCCAAGATAATGGAAAAGTTTATTCTAAAACTTGTTTTAGATGACAGATTGATGTCTGAACATTCAGAGCCTGGAAAGATAACACTTCAATCAAAATCCTGACCCAGACAAATCTATTTCCTTTTGTCTTTGCTCCTTTTTAGATGAGTGTATTTGCATGGATATACTACTTTTTTTTCCTCCTGAGATGGAATCTTGTTCTACTCAGGCTGGCCTTAAGCTCCTGAGTTCAAGTGATTTTCCCGCCTCAGTCTCCTGAGGTGTGCACCCCATGTGCACATGCCCTACCCACCCTGCCCCCTTTCTGAGAAAGCGTCTTTTGTGTAGACCAGGCTGGCCTTGAACTTGCATTGTAGCTGAGAATAGCTTGAGCTTCTGGTCCTCCTGCCTCCATCTCTCAAGTGCTGGCATTACTACATGTGCCACCATCTCCAGTTTGTACATACACATTTTAAAGTACTCTAAACGTGAAACTGCAGTGGCTTCTGGGGAAGGTACTGCCATTTGAAGAAGCACTTGGGCTTCCAAGCTGACGGAGTCTCTGCAGTTCCAGAACTAGGTAAGAGTAATTGAACAAATTCAACCCTTCCAAGCCTTGATCTTCCTCACCTGTAAAATAAACCCGTAATTTCTGTATACCATAGTTATAAAGACAGAGAGATGGGAGTATGGGACATGAACACTGGTGGCAGGGGCCTTTCTCATTTCTCTGAGACCTCTGCCTTTCTCTGCCTAGAGAAAACATTTTCCTTTGGAGCGGGTCTGACTTTGGCTCATTGCTGACATTTAGCAAGTTCCCTTACACAGAGAGCTGGCACATGACCAGTTTGCTTTTGTAATAGCAAGGCATGCTGCTATCCTCCTTCCTTAGACATGTAGCATTTTACTCACTACAAATAAAAGTCAATAAACTGGCCACAGTGATACAAGCCTGTAATCCTATTGTTTGGGAAGTAGAGGTAGAAAGATCGGGAGTTCAAGGTTATTGTCTCCTACATAGCATGTCTGGGGCCACTTGACACCTGTCTCAAACCTCCCCCTCTAAAAAATGGTACTAACAATGCCAGTTTGTTGTCACTGTGATAGCAGCTATGCAGGTAGTGTGTAGACCTGAGGCTCTGCCTCCTCCTGGCTTGGTGACCTTGGGAAGATCGTTCAGTATTCCCAAGCTGCTTCCTCATCTAAAAAGTGAGGACAGCAGTGCAGCCTCACAGGGTTGCTGGTGACTTTGAGTGAGATGATACAGTCTGAGCTCAAAACAGGTGGTACAATCAGAGCATACTGGAATTTTTGCTGTGTGGACAATTGATGCTGGTGTGGCAAAAGGCATCATTTCTTGTGCACATGTGTACATGTACATTCTGAAATGTGATACTAAGGAGGGGACCTAGGGCCTCACACATACCAGGCAAGCACTCTACCACTGAGCTATATTCTAGGCCTTCCTTTTTCTTGAGATAGGGTCTCACTGAGTTGCTTAGCTTGTTCTGGAACTCACTCTGTAGCCCAAGCAGTCCTTGAACTTGAGATCATCCTATCTCAATCTCTTAAGCAGCCTGGATTATAGGGTTTCACCACCAGGCCTAGAATAGCAAGTCATAAATGGTAGCTGATGTTTTAGCCACTTCATAGTGAAGGAGAGTGTTGGTAAAAGTCCTGCCACCAACTCAGGAGTAGTGTTAGTTGTTTTGGAAGTAACTTGCTAAGGCAGGACCTCTGGCAGTTGTGAACATCCATTGAGATTGTAGCATCCCAGTTTATTCATTGCCTTTCTTGGACTCACCCAGGCCAAGCCCAGCATCCGGTGCTTCATTAAGCCCACTGAGACACTCGAGCGGTCCCTTGAGATGAACAAGCACAAGGGCAAGAAGCGGATGCAAAAGAGACCCAACTACAAAAACGTTGGGGAGGAGGAGGACGAGGAGAGAGGGCCTGCTGAAGATGCCCAGGAAGACGCTGAGAAGGCTAAAGGTACAGAGGGTGGTTCAAAAAGCATGAAGACAAGTGGGGAGCGTGAAGGTGAGTGTACCCGGGAATGGCCCTTTCACCCACGCCAACCCCTGCAGTCAGCAAGGCTTCTATGTCCTCTGTCTTCCTCCTGCTCTTTGTGTGTTCCCTGGGTGCTCTGCTCATTCAGCACCCACCAGTGCACCTCATTCTGTCTGGACAGCCCAGCCATTCAGAGGCAGCTGTGGACTGTGTCACAGCAGACCTAGTGCAAGTCCTACCCCATATGACCTGGAGCAAGGTTTCCTACATGTAAAAAGATAGTCACACATCATGGTCACTTTATAGTGCATTACCAGAGTTAAATCACACAGTGCATTTGGCCACCTCAGAACAGTACCAGACCCTTAGGAAATGTTCTAGAGGTGTTTGATGTTGCTGCTGCTGTTGTTACTGTTGCCATCTTCATTCACTATTATGACTGCTGTTCTTACTCCTGCTAACTTGGGAGTATGATTTGTGTCCAGTGCACTATGGGAAGGGAAGGGAGCCCAGGTTTTGTAAGATGATATGTCTTTCATTGCTGATGGATCATTGGAGTCACATGGTTAAATACAGCCTCCATATTCTCCAATCAGATTTTACAAGTCCCATCTGTTCAGAGTGAGGTACAACTGTGTGGTATATATACCCTCGGTGAGCAGAAACCTGCCTTCTACTCTTGCCCTGGCAGGATTGATCCACCTTCCTCTCTTCTCCTCTCTTGTGTAGATGCTAAAACCCTCTGGAGCTGGAGAACATTTGGTCTGGGATTCAAAATACTTGAAATAGCATGTTGTTTTTATCTAGACTAGGCTCACGGCCTCTTAGATGGAGCCTCCAGCCAGAGCCCTTGGGAGTTGGTGTTAAGGGACTGCTTGGTGGTGGTGGAGTCAGAGTTCTGCTGGCTGGAGGGAAGATCCCACACCTCCTGGGACAAAAGCAACCTCTATGGAGCATCCCAGCTGAGAGCTATGAGATTGGGGGAACATTGTGCTGACGAGCCTTATGGACCCTGGGGCTAGCAGTGGTGACTCTAAGCCTCCCAGTCCTAACCTAAGTGGCTGACACAGTCATGCAGAGCTTTGCACCAACCACTGACTAGGGTAGTGGTTGTCAACCTTCCTAATGCTGTGACCCTTCAATACAGTCCCTCATGTTGTGTGACCCCCAACCATAAAATTACTTTCATTGCCTCTTTATAACTGTAATTTTGCTACTGTTATGAATGTAATGTAAACATCTGATATGCATGGTTTTCTGATATGCAACCCCTGTGAAAAGGTCATTCAAATCCCCAGAAGATCGTGACCCACAGGTTGAGAACTGCTGGACTAGAGGCTTGTTTGCTTTTGAGAACTGTGTGCTAGTCTACAGCTAATGTGTACCCTGTCATCCCTGTTGACTCCCATAATGAATATCATGGCAACTGTCAGTGAATGCCATAATCATATGTCAGTGAGTCTTACCAAAATGTCCCCTGGTGGCCCAGACTTCCTAAGGCCAAGGGCTCTGGCTGCTTTTATTTATGTACATTGTGCTTTTGGGTTTACTTGGCACCTTTGGTTCCTGGAACCCTTTCCTGTAAGTATTACTTTGGTGGGGAGGTTGAGGAACAAACACAAGGTAAGTCATACTCACTTGAACTTGCTTATTTTAGGTTATGTTAGGGATTTCACTAGCTGGGAAGAAAGTTATCAGCTCACATCGCAGGTCTAGCCAAGGTGCAGTGGCATAGAGCAGGATGGGTACATGGATATCTGTATCTTGTTTGCACACTGTGTTCTTGTCAGTTTCATCTTGGAAAGATACTCCTGCTTTTGTTGCAGGCCTTTTAAGGGATGTTCTTCAGTCAGCCGTGGCTGTGACCAGCAGTGGTATGGATAGGTCAGGTTTGGCCCCAGACCCTAATATAATTGTTAGCCAGATGACCCAGTCCCGATTGAAGCTGCTACATCCTTTAGGCTGCTGGGCTTAGAGTGTGGGTCTGGCGCTGAGTCCTGCCTCTGCACAGGGGAAGACACTGTTATCAGCCGCTAGGGTTTCCCAGGCTACCCAGCCAGATTGTGCCAAACAGGGCCCCAGGGTTTCCCCAGAGGCCAGCCGAAGCAGCTGACACAGACTTCATAGCTCAGCCAAGCGTGGCTTCTCGTGACCCTCCTGGCCATTTTGCTGCCCTTGTAATTTCTCAAACATACTAAATCATTCGGAAACATGATGGGCTGTCATTTCCCACTCAGTTCACCATAAATATATAAAGTGTCCACAGGCCTGGCCAGTGTACTGACATTCTGAAGCTTTCTAAAGGATATATCTGATATTTTAGTCTCAGGTTTGAAGGTGCTGCTAAGGAATGTTTATCCTTATTCTGCATCTATGTTTAGACAAAAACCACAGCTGTTAAAATCCTGTCACTTGGAAAGGTGTCAGTTTCCTTCATTCTTACTGCAAACGGGATGTTCATTCATATAGATTATGCAGGGACCCCTCGCCAGGCCTGGATCATGTGTCTGCAGTGCTCTTTCCTAAGCTCAGAGTGTGTGTATCAGCAGTAGGGATGAGAGTGTTGGGCGCTGTGTCCCCGCTGCTCCTCTTCTCCCTTCTGTGCTGAGGTGGCTGGGCACTTGCTTCTTCCTCGTGTTCTTCCTCCTTTCATCGGGCCTGCATCTAGGAGGTGATTAGCAGTAGGGTTGTGGCAGACACAGGTGTTGGCACTCACCACCACCCCCGTGTCTGGTGCCCCTCTTGAATTCTCTATATAGAGGGTAGGGTAAAGCAGAAGAGGAAAAAGGGGCATCTTACCAGTCACAGTTTGCCACAGCTTAATTTGAATGTGGCATCAATGGGTTTTTTATAACGTGGCACCCAGAATTCACACTTCCTCTGCACTTAAACCCAGACAGTGAAGGTGTGTGAAATGAATGTGTATCTCTACCCATCCTCCTCCATTCCCAGTGTACAAAGACATTTGCCATCCCTTGGTTCTTGAGTCCTGAGTGACTTGTTCCGAGGCCATGAGATCATCAGCACCTCCTTTCAATTTCTGCAGAAATGGACGGTTAAAGAAAGACAAAGGATGATGGCATCATCCCTTACTTAGCTGGAGAAGCTGTGCCCAAGAAGTCAGACAGCCCCGGCACATGCTTGTCTCTTAGCTGGCCCTTCAGCTGGACGGGACAGCCACCTGCTTTTGGACTTGCTTAGAGCAGTATCTTAATAATGAGAGCTGCCAGAGAGATGGTCTCCCTCCACCTCCTCCTGGGAACAGCAGGTGGTGCTGCTGTTTGCCCCTGGGACGAATAAGGATTGGCTGGCTAGCCCGACCTTTCCAGCTCTCTTCCCCAAATCTCACAAGGGCCTGCAGTGAGGGCAGAAGGCAGCACTGATGGCACCTGCCTAGTCAGTTGGGGTTGGGGGTCCCTGGGGCTTTGATCCTCAGCTTTGCCCTTTTTCGAGATCTCTTCTGGAATGAAATGGAACCTAACCTCATTCTTGACTTGTCTTTGAGATATTCAAGTCTGAGTCCCAGTCCTGCCCTTGAGCAGCATGGTAATTTTGGGTAAGTTGACACTCGACTACACATGTCCACCTGTGGAGGGCCTTCCTGATGCTCAGCCTGAGGCTGTTACAGTGAGAATTCCCATGCTGCAGCATTCTGCTGCTCACACAGTAGCAGCCCAGGTTAAGATGGAGGGCAGAAGCGTAGAGGACAGACTGGGTACACTCTGGGCCTGCACCTTCCACAGTTTCTCCAGGCCTTCCTTCTTTCCTTCCTTCCTCTGTTCCTTGTATATATGTTTGTGTATATGTCTCTGCATGCAGACCACAGCACACATGTTGAGGTCAGAGGACAACTTGGGTGTCTCTCCTCACCTTCCACCTTGTGAGACAGGCTTTTGTGTTTTGCCACTGTGTACACCAGACAAGCTGGCTGGCTAGAGAGTCTCCTGTCTCTGCCTCTTATGGCATGATGAGAGCATAGGCATTATAGACACAAGCTACTGAGTCTGGCTTTACATGCACTTGAAGTGTGCGAGTCAGCAGTGTTAAGAGTGCCTGCCTTGTGTATCTCCAGTATTCTTTGCATCCTGCAAAACTGAGGGATTTGAACTTGGGTCCTTACACTTGCATGACAAGTGTGAGTATGGGGGCTAATGGGAGAGAAAGGGACTTGGTGGGCCCAGGTTTTGTAGTGGAGAGAGTCTGCTCGTACTTTTCATGCAGACTTAACAGAAGAGTGGAGAGCTGTTAGGGCAAACCCTCTGAAAACCCGCAAGACCACTCTGCTGAGCGGTATGAACAAGCAACAAGCAAAGGAGGGGTACATACTCCTACCTGCTCCTGCCATTGCCCTGGCCAAGTTCACCTTGAAACACTGCTCCAGAGTCAGCCAATCACAGCCCTCTCTGGTTACCTAGGTAACCAGGAGCATGTCTTTCCCCTTCCCTTGACCTTCTTGTGAAGGCCTCCCCCCCCCCCCCCCCCCCCCCCCCCCCCCCCCCCCCCCCCCCGCCATTGTCTGTCTTTCCGTGGTTTCTGGAATAGAGAATCCAGATTGAAGAAATACTTGGATTGTGAAGTCAAAGACTACTGTGATATGCTGCCTGCCGTTTCCCCGAAAAGCACTTCCTCTACCAAATATTAATCAGATTGGGGTGTACATCATCCTAGGCAAGTCAGGGAAATACTGCTATTACTTGAAAAATCCGCATGTCAGAGGCTGGGGGAGCTCCAGGATGTGGCCAGAGTTGTCATATCAAGAAATCAGTGTTTTGTGTCCTGACCTTCACAGCTCTCCCAGTACTGCCGTCACTTGCATGGTACCTGGGAGATAAAGATGTCCTTGCCTGTTGTGGTTCCTTTCTGTCTATCTTTTCTCTTTCTACTTCCTCCTCCACTTTCTTCTCTTCCTCCTCTTCTTCTTTTGTTTCTTTTTTATTGTGATAAAATAGTGGAAATTGAAACTTACTATCTCCACCTCTTTGAAATGTACAAGTCAGCAGTGCTAAGGGGGCCCATGTTGTATATCCATC